TCAGATCGTATCCAAATCGTATTGAAGCCCTATCTGAAAATTATCATGGGTGACCCCGGCTGAGGCCAACTAGAAACTCTTGGGGTTAGGGTACTTAAGGCTTCTATAAGGCTTCTATAAGGTATATATAGACTAATATAGACCTTCTATAAGGCTCCTATAACGGTAACTACCCACCTGAAAATGTCCTAGATACAACCCCCAACAGCCTCAAGCCTTAAACCCTGCAAGTCCACGCCCGAACCGTAACACCGAAACCACAGAAACCCTGAAACAACAAGTCTAAACGGTAGCAATTTCTGGACTCTGTTTTATCCCGAGTTCGAGTTCTTTTGCCACCCTGGTCTGCAACATCAGTCTCCTTACTAAGGGCAGGCTCGAACAAGTTGGCTGGATCTTTATTGCACCAAACACTTTTGTGAGCCTTTTGATATTGCCACAAGGGCTGCTAATGAAAGGGGCCTTACCAATTAGAATAGGGTTTCGGGGCCCATTCTACTATAATTATAATTAGGAGACCCGAAAATAGCATTGGTAATTCTTTAGGCCCCTACGTTACAAGGCTTCACAAGGCTTCATTGGGTCACCAACTATGTCTTGAAGATCGGCCCTTCCAACAATAACTCAAATCTCCCCTCATCAAGAAGACTTTCAAGGGGTCCCCATGTCGAAATGCCGCTGTAATCCTATGCCCATGCCGTGTAGAGAAAACGACCAAAGCTCCTTCATATCACATATCGAACCCCTAGCACCCTGAACAGTAAACGCAAAACACCCAGACACCAACCAAGAAAAGCCCGAACCTCCTTAACTAATGCGTATTCCTTGAATCACAGCGTAAGACCCTAAACCCCAAACCCCCAAACCCTAAACCCCTAGACCCCAAAACCCAAGACCTTTAACCTCCAGACTCTAAGCCCTTGCGCACCCCAAGCTCGACTACGCAAAACCGCAAACCGCTCAAACCCTAAACCCGAAACGGAACAGCTCTCTATAATACTTCTTAACCTTGTAGAGCCCCTATCAAGCCATCATAAGCCCTACAAAGCGGGCGCATTCGATGGCCCTTAAACTCTAAACCCTAAGCCCTAAAAAGACAAACCAAACAAAAAAGACAATTACGACTAAACCTACCCTAAACCCTAAACCCTAAACCGTAAGGCACATCCTCAGATCCCGGCCGAAGGAATGTGCCTGCTTGAAGGGTTTAGGGTATATCAGCCTTAAACTAAGCCGGTTTTGCGTGGTTCCTTGAGGGCTTTTACAGTTTTATGTAGGGTTTGTAACGGTTTGGTTTACAGGGTTCTTTATACCGGCTTGTACAACTTGATTGATGCAGGGCTTTATTGGGTGTACTTGAAGGATGGTGGGACTTAGGTACAGCACTGAAAGAAAGGCGGATACGGCCGTGCTATTAACCTAGGTACAAGAAGCCCGCGATCCTGCAAGCGCGGATGACTATGGGAAGTTTGCAACGGGTTTCTCTGAACTAAAGACCTGGTTGGCTATGCAAGGCTTTATACGGGGTTTCGACTTTTTGTGAAGAGTTTCATATAGGGGTCTGTAATCTACAAGGGGTTCCCAAGTGAATCTTCTACAATATACCCCATAAACCCGTCGTGAAGCCCCAATTGCCCCAATATTACAGAACTACAAACGCTGTTGCAGAAGAGCCCTACGAAACTCTTTAGTTCGACAGACCTTAGGCCGTGATCTCGCGAAGGGTACTTCATGTAAGCTACCATACTCAGCAATGCGTATTATGAAAGTTACACACCGTCTACCCATTCTGACAACTGAAGCTAAACCTCAAGCTGTCCTTGCTCTTCGAAGTGGATATGCGCTCGAAGTTCTGTGGGGCAGTGCAGACCTGAATCTGGTTCAAGGTTTTGGGGTAGAGCTGTACCTTGACTTTAGGGTCCCTATAAATTCTATATGAGGGTTTGTAATGAAACCCACACAAAAGTAGGTTGAGGTAGCTTATGGTAGTGCTGATCTTCGGTTCGTGGAAGATAAAGGACGCTGCGATTGTTTGGGATTGCGGCAAACTTTCCCCATGTTTGCAGTTGTGGGAAGCTCGATGCTTGCGCGTGTGCTGTTTAGGGTTGGGGCCTTGGCGCATGTTGGGCATGGTGTACCCAAACTCAGAAACACTAATTAACCCTACACACCCGTTGCCCTGTACCCAACATCATAACCTTGAGCCCTAAGCCGCCCTAGCTCTACACCAACATACTTTGAACCCTAAAAACCACATAGCCTTAACCTCCAAAGACTTTTTGTTCACCGCAAAATCTTGAAGCGTAAACCTTACTGGGATCGGCCAGAGTTTAGGATTGTTTGTTTTGTTGGTATTACGGTTCAAGCTTTCCTCGATTTGGCGGTTAATGATTAGTATGTGCATCCCGAAGCATTGGACCTGTCAGCTGCTGGCTGCTGTCTTTGGGTTATGGCCCATGCCCGAACTGGGGAGTTAACAGCTTCGGTTAAACTTGGAAATTAATTAGAATGCCCCGTGGCAGTTTCATCTAACATCGCATTCCCAAGCCTACACACTAGTCTCTCTCTCTCTCTCTCTGACTCTCTCTCTCTCTCTGACTCTCT